CAATTTGTTCTACAATTTTGGAAAAGAGGCCTACACCTACATTGGTGTTTGTGTGGGAAAAATGACCATGGTCTCCTTGGTCACCCGATGCAGAATTTGCAAACAAAAACAAAATTTGGCCAAGCACTTCTGTTTGTGAACAAAATTGTTTGCAAACAAAAGCATTCATGAATCGAACTGAATATATGTATATATTGGTGTGTGTGGCCAAACTCCCTGTTTCCATTTAGAGAGTTGAATATGTTTTCTGGAGTTTAACTTCTACCTCAAAAAATACTCAGGGAGTTAAAAATTTGTGCCTAATTTCTTTGCTTAACAAAAAAGTGTTTTTGTTATTGTTGTTGTTGTTTTAAAAGAGTCATCATTCTCCCTCTCAGAAATTTGGAAAATGCAAATGGATAGAGGAAAAGACCCCTCACAGTCACTAGAGAAATACATTGTACCAGCCTGGTCCCCCCGCCCCCGGGGTGGCCTTTGTTTCCTCTGGTGCAGTTTTGTTTAGTTTAGTTTCTATTGCTGAATAAACAGAACGATGCTTTCTGATTCACAATTGCCTGAGCTGGTTTCACGTAAGCGTACCAAGCCTGTGATACTTGTGACAGTGATGACACTTGGTCCTTCTGGGAATTGTGGGGGTGGGGCACCCCCCCCCCCGTGTTCTCCCAACACTTTGGGGAAGGTCAGTTTCACCACACCACTGCCTTATATTCAGCCTTCAGAATCACCCTTCTGGAACCTAACTCTACTTTTTTTTTGTCTCTTTAAACCCCAGAGCTTCAGAACGTATGCTCCTCTGGGTAAACTGACGGTGATCTATTTGTTTTGCCTTCTCCCAGCTCATGCATTCTTCAAGTGTTGGTAACTGGAATGTTTTGTCTGTTCAGACTCAAAAGCGTCAGTGGGACAGAAACCAAAGTTAAGTGTCCCAAGATGTGTCAAGATGAATCTGGGAAAGCTGAGCTGTTGCCTGAACTGCTCCTCTGAATCAGCTGGTACTTTTTGTCTCTAGTTTTAAAAGTTCCCTAGCAGCAAACAGATATCCAGAATCTCCACTGCCTGAGGATGGGAGAAATTTTGAAGTTTTCATGAAACACATTCATGTCTCAAACTGTGAACACAACCAAATGTCCAAAGCAAGGACCCCAGAGCACTGCCCACATGTCTGTGATACGTTGTCTGCTGCCTAACAAACCCAGCATGAGTCCGCTGGGCTGGACCATCTGCTGGGCTGAGTTCCAGGAAAACAAGGCACCTCTGGATTCATTGGTTTTAGGATGGACCTGTAGCTGCCAGCTGGAAGCTGCCCTGGGGTTCCTTAAATAGCCAAGTCTTGTGGTCTGCTCTGATGATGACTCCCACCAGCACGAAGCAGGGGGATGACCTTGCTCTGTGGCCAGGACAACAGTGAAAGAAGGAGCCCCGTGTATGGCAGTCTGGGGAGAGACAGCCACCTAGCATGTCCCCACCAAACCAGTCAGTAGAAGGTCTTCCCCAGGAGGCCTCCAACAGATCCCTGAATGCCACAGAGAGCCCAGAGGCTTGGGACCCCGGGATCCTGCAGGCGCTCAAGATCTCCCTTGTCGTGGTCCTTTCCATCATCACATTGGCCACTGTCCTCTCCAATGCCTTTGTCCTGACCACCATCTTGCTCACTCGGAAGCTCCACACCCCAGCCAACTATCTCATCGGCTCCTTGGCCACCACCGACCTCCTGGTCTCCATCCTGGTCATGCCCATCAGCATCGCATACACCACCACCCGCACCTGGAGCTTTGGCCAGGTCCTGTGCGACATCTGGGTGTCTTCTGACATCACCTGCTGCACGGCCTCCATCCTGCATCTCTGTGTCATTGCCCTGGACAGGTACTGGGCCATCACGGACGCCCTGGAGTACAGCAAGCGCCGCACGGCGGGCCACGCCGCTGCCATGATCGCGGCGGTCTGGGTGATCTCTATCTGCATCTCCATCCCACCGCTCTTCTGGCGGCAGGCCAAGGCTCAGGAGGAGATGTCAGACTGCCTGGTGAACACGTCTCAGATCTCCTACACCATCTACTCCACCTGTGGGGCCTTCTACATCCCGTCCGTCCTGCTCATCCTCCTGTACTGCCGCATCTACGCAGCCGCCCGGAGCCGCATCCTGAATCCACCCTCCGTGAGGGGGAAGCGCTTCACCACCGCGCACCTCATCGCGGGCTCCGCAGGCTCCTCGCTCTGCTCGCTCAACCCCAGCCTCCGTGAGCGCCACTCTCACGCCGGCTCCCCGTTCTTCTTCAACCACGTCCAGATCAAACTTGCTGATGGTGCCCTGGAACGCAAACGCATTTCCGCTGCTCGGGAAAGAAAGGCCACAAAGACCCTGGGGATCATCCTGGGGGCCTTTATCATCTGCTGGCTGCCCTTCTTTGTGGTCTCCCTGGTCCTTCCCCTCTGCCGGGGCTCCTGCTGGATCCACCCGGCCCTCTTTGACTTCTTCACCTGGTTAGGCTATTTAAACTCCCTCATCAATCCCATCATCTACACTGTGTTCAACGAGGAGTTTCGGCAAGCATTTCAGAAAGTTGTCCATTTCCGGAAAGCCTCCTAGTCTTATTTGCTGGTAACTCTCCTTAGCGCTCGTGTCCAGGAACCCAACTGGGATTGTCCTCTTCGGTTTTCCTGAGACTTGGGTTAACTCATGGTATCTTGGGTCTTGTGCCCATCACCAGTTGTTCTGTGCCCTGTGGTTCTGTGTCTTCTGACCTTCGGAGCCACCCAAAGCCGGGCTGCTGTACGATAGAGGGCAGGACAGAAGACCTCCCTTAACTTAATATTTCCAAGGTTCCTCTGGGGTGGAAGAAACATGTCCCACAGGATTCAGGTGAGAAAATGACTCTACAAAAGATGCCAGGCTCAAAGAGAAGAAGGTTTTTGTGGTCTCCCTGAGATTTGTATGAGGCTCACTGGAGGGTAGGTAAGGTTAATAATCTGAATTGGAGATTTGGGAGCCATGGCAGAGGAGACTCCTCCCTTTGGAGCATCCTGATTAGAAAATAACATCCAAGATTTTCTTCCCTTGGGTGCTCCTCACCCCGCATCTCTCCCAGCCATTCATGAGGAGAGACAGTGATTTGGAGAGAGATCTAGAAGGTGGGGCAGGGAAACCAATGCACCTTACCTTCTTCCAGTACCCCAGCACCATCTAAATGTTCTGGGGTTAAAACCCATAATCACCCCACTGAAGGAGATTGGACCCACCAAGCTTCTGGAGGGCTACCATTCTGAATGTCTTTTTTTATATTCCATTCTCATTAAAAAATCTTAAAGTGTTGCATCTTATCAAATAAAGAGCATGAAACATCATTGGCCGGTGCATCCTTGGGTGATTTCAGTTAGAGACCATCAACTCAGTGTCCCCTGAGTGCCCACCAGGTGCCAGACCCAGGGTCCCAGGCGTGACAGTGTCAGTGTCGGGACCACCAGGAACTCAGGGCCCCGGGGCAGGGGATGTGGCCCAGTGGTAGAGTACTCACCTGGCAGGTGTGGGGCCTTGGGTTCGAGCCAAATAAAGAGAAATGAAAAGAAAAATAACTCAGGACCTGATGCCTCAAGTAAAAGCCAAGTGCTGTCTATTTCCACCCAGAAGAATTCAGACCCATTTCTTAATCCCTCTTTGCCTCATTTTCTTCAACTATAAAATAGAGATAAGAATAAGTAAATTGTATAAATTAATGCCATGCTTGACACAAGACCCTGAATCAATTTAGAGCTGCAGGAATTGATCTACTCAAGGGTAAGCAGCAATAAAAGAAAATAATAGCTACTTTTGTTGTTGTGGCTTGCGTGGCTGGAGATGGAACCCAGGGCCTCTACCGCTGAGCTGCACCCCAGCCCAACAGCTACTATTTATTACACAGCTGTAATGGTTCTTGCATCCATTTTCTCATTTACTCTTTGTCCTTTTTTTTTTTTTTTTTTTTTTTTGCTGGTTATTAAATCCAGAGAGCACTGAGCTACATCCCTAACAGCCCTCTTAATTCCTTCTTTCTTTTTGCAGTACTAGGTCATTGAACCCAAGGGTACTCTCCCACTGAGCTACCTCCTGAGTCCTTTTCATTTTTTAAACTTTTGATGAGGGTTCTGCTAAGTTGCCCAGGTGAAACGGGAATGTAAGATCCTCCTGCCTCAGCCTCCCTCAGAGCAGGCATGCACCACTATTCTGTGTTCCCCTTTTTTATTTTGAGACAGTTGCCTAGGCGAGCCTCAAACTTGTGATCCTCCTCCCTCAGCCTCCTGTGTGGCTGGCATGACAGGTGCCACTGCCCCTGGCTAAAGAAACTTTCCTGTGGTGGGGGAAGGTTTTATAAAGAGATAACACAGAAGGGGCTGGGGATTTAGCTCAGTGGTTCCGTAGCCTGCTTCACAAGCACAAGGACCTGAGTTCGATCCCCCATACCAAAAAAAAAGAGAGAGAGAGAGAGATAACACAGAAGCAGATCCCTGAAAGGTGAGCTCCAGGGGACTGAAGGATAAGGGGAGAAGATGCAAAGGAAGGCAGGAGCGAGTGCATCAGGTGGAGCAAAGAACAGGAGTGAGCTCAGGGCACCGGAAATGCTGGGGAGCCTGGGCACAGGGAGAAGCCTGAGAGCCAGAGTACCGGCGGTCAGGAGGGAGGGGCGCATTTGAGAGAGGAAGGGGTGGTCACCCAGGGGAGCCTCGTGCTGGCCCTGAAGAGGACGCCCAATGTGTCCCGTGCAGTCCCTGGGCCACCCGCGTCAGCGTCCCCCCAGGAGCTTGTGACACTGAGGTTCTTGTTAGAGTCTCAGCCCCACTGAATCAGAACCTCTGACAGTGAGCTCCAAGCCCCTGCTGTTTATGTATTTAATTTACAGACATGTCTCGCTGCAGTACCCAGTCTGGTCTCAGACTCCTGGACTCAAGTCATCCTCTGCCCTCAGCCTCCCAAGTAGCTGCACCAGGTGATTCTAGGCCTCTAGAATTTGAGGCCAGCGATAGGGATGCCTCTGGCCATGCTTCTCGCTCTCCTCTGCACCCGGGCGCACCTTTCTCTACTTCCCCCGAAAGGCTTGCTGTCCCCCAGCTCCTCTATTTGGCCTTGAGCCGTCTTCCTGGTCTGGGAAAGGTCGGGAATTCCGAGATCTGACTGGGAAGGTGCAGCGCGCTGCAGGGATAGGAGCACTTGCTTTGATGTCAGGCATCCTTGGAATGAGATCCCAGACTTGCCAATATTCAGCGGTGTGACCTGAGGTGAGTCGCCTAACTTGTCTGTGCTTCGGTTTCTTCATCTATTAAGTGGGGCTGCCGGTATCAAATCCACACTTCTTTTCCTAAGGACTAAATGCGAAGTGATTGTGAAGAGTTTAAAATGCCACTGGTTATGCCTAAGAGCTTTGAGCCAATTAGAAAAGAAGCTCAGTGCCGGGGATTTAGCTCAGGGATTCTGTCGCCTGCCTCGCATGGGCAAGGACCGGATTCGAGCCCCGGCACCAAAAAATACATAAAGAGAGAAAAGATGCTCAAACGGTGCCTCCTGAGAGGCCTTTCCTGACTAGGAGAAAGATTAACAACCTTTTTAAAAGCTCTGTAGCTGGGCCTGGTGACGAACACCTGTGATCCCAGCTACTCAGAGGCTGAGGTAGGAGCATCTCAAGTTTGAGATCAGTGGGCAACTCAGTGAGGCCCTGCTTAAAATAAACCTTTCAAAGAGGGTGGGCAGGGGAGCATTGCCTAGCATGTGAAAGGCCCTAGTACAGGATGGGGAGCCTAAAAACTAAACATAGCTTTATTGAGATGTAATTCAAAAGTCATACACAGCACCCATTTTAGTTTTCTATTTTTGTTTTGTTTCTTTTTTTTCTTTTTTTTTTTTTTTTTTTGGTACCGGGGGTCAAACTTGCCTTGCACTTGCGAGGCAGGCCACCGAACCACTGAGCTAAATCCCCAGCCCTAGTTTTCTATTTTTATGATACTGGGGGTTGAACACAAGGCTTCACATGTGTTTGGCCAGTTGAGCCATGTAAGGTATGCAATTTAATGGCTTTTAGAGTAGTCATAGAATTGTACAATCACTAGTAGAATGTTTACATCACCCCAGAAAGAAATGCTTACCTTTTAGCTATCAACCCCCTGCCCTCCACACCTACAGCCCTGGCAACCAATGATCTACTTTGTTTTGGTATTTTTGTTTGGTTTGGTTTTTGGGTTTTTTTTGGTATCAGGGATCAAATTCGGGTCCTTGAACTTGCAAGGCAGGTGGCGGAAACACTGCGCTAAATCCCTGGCCCTGTTTTGGTATTTTTGAGACAGAGTCTTGCTTTGTAGCCCAGGCTGGCCTCAAACTTAAGGCAATCTTCCTGTCTCAGCCTTCTGAGTGCTGGGATTACAAGCAGACACCTCTATGCCTGGCTTACTTTCTGTCTCTATAGATTTTCCTGTGCTGGACACTTTATATAAATGGAATCAAGCAATAGGTGAACTTGGTGTCTGTCTCTTTGCACTTAAACCATGCTTTCAGGGTCTGTCTGCATCGTAACATATGTAGGAATTACAATTTTTCTTTTTTCCAGATCATAGTCCCTCATATGGCAAGATCACATTTTGTTTATCCATCCGTCATTGGGTTATTTCCACTCCTGGTTAATTCATTCTATGAACATTCTTGTACAGTTTGTTCTCACTTTTGTTTTGTGGTTGCAGAGATGAACCCAGGGTCTTGCACATACTAGGCAATAGACACATACATGTCCATTCCTTTAGGAAATGAGAGAAGTGGTGGAATTATGGGGTCGGATAACTATGCCTGGTCTCCTGAAAAACTACCAGACTTTTCAGAGCGGCTACACCCCTTGGCCTTCCCACTGATGGTGTGTGAAGCTCCAGTTGGCTCTATCCCTTCCTGGCACTTACCGGCTGGGGTTGTGATCCTACTACTGCCTCCACCTTCAGTAGCTGGGACTACAGCCATGCGCCACCCTACTCGGCTTCCTAGGCCAATTTTAATGGCAACAGGCCCGGCGTTCAGTGTGAGTCCTGGAGTTTGACCAAATATCTGGGCACCATTGACACAGCAAAGTGGCCATGACCTTCTTGCTTTCGTGGCCTGCTCCTTTACAGCCACCTCACTCTGCCCTCCAGTCCCTCCGGCCCCTCCGCACACTGCCCTGCCAGGACCCGGCTCTCACTGATCTTTGTCCCCTTAGGACCTGGCACACAGCCTGTGCTCGCCTAAGTGACATGGGTGGCGTCTTGTCTTCGGCCTGTGCCTGCAGTTATGCCCTAGCACTTTATGGACAGTAGATCACTTGATCCACATGCCGTGGGTCCTATTTTTACCACCCAATGCCATACTGCTAGTTGCACCCAGAATCTGTACTCTTCGCCCCCCAAAATGTGTCCAGGACCCAAATAGCACGTGGCCATGAAGGGCAGCAGGGAGCGGTGGCAAAAGCATGGGTTTGGGAAGCGTTTGGAAGGGCTGCCTGTGCTGAGTTTTCCAATTCTTTTTTGCCTTTTTTTTTTTTTTTTTTTTTTTGAGGGATTGAATCCAAGGCCTTCACTCTAACCTTTTCTTTCTTTTCCCTGGTACTAGGAATAGAACTCAGGATCTTGTACTTGACAGGGAGGCATGTCACCACTGAGCTAAATCCACGGCCCTTTTTATTTTTAATTTTGAGACAGAATCTTGCTAGATTACCCACGCTGGCCTCAAATTTGGAGCCCTTCTGTCTCAGCCTCACAGAGCACCACAACCAGCTCACTTGCCTAACATTGCTCTGCCTTGGTTCGCCTGACATGGATAACAGTAACACCAACCTCCCAGGGTCTCAGGAGCCTGGTGTTGTACCAGACACGGCGGCATTGAGAAACGGGGAGATTCCTGAATGAGACTTGGGGTCAGTTTACTCTTGGGGAACTGATGAGTTTAAAAACCAAACACACACACCGTGTCACCATGCCAACCACCAAGCAAGCCTGGGAGCCAGTTTGGGCCTTGGCCACCAACTGACAGCCTCAGATTCTCCTGTACTCTTTGCTACCTCCTGCCCCCCACCCCCAATGGCGTTGGATGGCGCCTGGAGCTCACAGCCCATCTGGGACCTGCGTGCGGAACACAGACCAGAGAGGCAGATGCCCCGTCCCCCACCAGGCCTGCCTGTGGCCACTGCTGTCTTTCCCTCAGGTTCCATCTTCCTGTCACAGGGTGGGGGTGTGCATGGGGGACAGGTGGGGACTCAAGCAGCCTCCGCACCTGAGGTAGGGCACTTAGCTGTGTGGCCAGGGTCCCTGTACTTTGTTCCTGCATAGAATCCAGACCTGGAGGA